TTTCTAGGAATGTTTCTATTATTATTCTGAGAGAATTTTCTTTTAATTATTTGTTTTTTCTTATTTTTTTTAGAAGGGGGATCTAATCTTTCATACCCGTATTGTAAGCGTAAATCTCTTAATTCTTTTGTACAACTTTCTTATTGTCTTTTAATCTATTTTTCTAACTTTAGATTATTACATATTTCTAAGGCGAGTGTTTTTAATAGTTAAAATTATTTTTCCATATGTTATATCTTGCAAAGGTTCAAGGTATTTTTGGGTTAATTTTTCTCATACTTTTGTTGCAAATACTGGGGGTAGTCCAGCAATAAATCTTTCTTTCCAAAAAGTTTCTTTATAGTATGTTCTAGTCATTACCATGATTATGACATTGTCTACATACCATCCGAAATCTCCTAAAATGGGACATCTTAGATTATGTAGCAGAGTACTAGTTTTTTCTTCAAAGGTGTTAGAGTCACCCATAAAATTATGGATAATTGATATTATTAATGTTTCTACCATCAGGGGTATTTGGGTATTTCGGTCTTGTTTTACTGCTGTTAGAATAAATCGTCTTTGATCTATAGATAAATAATTTTCCCACCATCCTTTTAAGGATCCGGTAAATCCTAGGATTAGTAATTATATTGTTTGTTCTTCTGAGTTTTTTGCCCTATATGCTGAGGCAGTCATGGCCATTTCATTAGTTTTTCTTAATAATTGATAATCAGTTAGTCCATCTATGTTCCATTCATTTATTCCTGTTCCATTAAAGGCGAATGGATTTTCTAAATTACATTCTTCGAATTGTATATCGGGTAAAGTTGGTCTTCTATAATAATTTCTTGTGGTTGGCATATTATGGGTAGTTGGATTTGCATTAAATTTACTTCCTATTCTATTTATCTTTTCTTCATAATCTATATTTTCTAGGTCTCCTAGTTCTTCCTCGGGAATGTCTAGTACATTTAATTTTCTTACATTTAATTGTTCTAATTTTATATTTATTTCCTCTAATATTTTATCTGATTGATTTCCTATTTTGAATTCTTTATATTCTTTGTCGGATAGTCTTATAGGATTTATTAAAGATTTTTGTAGGTCAGTTATTCCTAATGGATTTTTATTATTTTGTGAACTTTTTTCCTCAATAGTTTTTTGAGCTATTTGGTGTAATATTTGATTTGTAAAGTTTAGCTGACTATGCAAATTTTGAATATCATTTATATTAGGAGTATCATTGATATTTCTTTTTTCTCCTATCATTTTGAAGGGTGATGCAATTACTTCTTTATTTTCAATGTTAGGAAATCTTACTTCTTCTAAAGGAGGAATTTTACTTATTATTTCTTTACCTTTTGTTTTCCATATTTTTTCAGCATTTTGTAATACATTGATTTGTAAATTTTCTAAACAATTTTCTTCAAACCATCTTGAGTATGGTATGCTTTCTTGAATTGAGTTTAAATAATTATAATATTTTTCGCGATATTCTTTTAATTCATTTTGAGTAAAAGTTTTAAAAAATCATTCTCTTTTTGCTTGATTCCTTTCGTCTAAAAATTCTTGTCTTAATAGATCTTTATTTATTTCAAATTTGGTTATTACATTTATTATACTATCATCTTGCTGTATTTCCGAAGCAGATGGGGAATTATGAGTTTCTATATTTTTGTATTCATATTCTGACATTGGGATCGTGGGGTCTTGTTTTATTCCTTTTAATTTTAAACTTCTATGATGTATTAGACTAGATTGGTCTATTGATCTTCTGGCTGTTATAAAAGTATTTCTACTAGATGTTCCTCTTACTGAATTTACTCTTCTAATTGAGGCAAAGGATACTTCTACTGTTCCTGATTTATATTCAGTTATATTTTCAACTTCTACTGGTTCTGGTGGTTCTGGTTCTAATAAGTCTTCTAGTCTCCAACTAAGACCACTAGATATTTCAGTATGTTTTAAAGTTTTTGGTATTACCGCATTAACCTTTTCTGGATTTACTAATAACATAGTTGTTTCATCTTTTGGAGACATTAATAAGGCTCCCGGTGCTAATTGGGTTTTCATTATCTTATAATAAATTCTATATATTATTGTTATAGGTATTGGTCTTGGATTCCATACGTTTTCGGGATTTTTATATCTAATAGTATATTATTTTTCGTATTATCTTTTCAAGGCTATTGAATAATTCGGGTAATTATTTATATATACTGGTCCATTATGAAGATTTGTTTCAAACATTGCTAATATTTGATTTTCAGGTTTTACTCATCTATTATCTCTTAAAGCAACAAACATGGGTGTATCTATTCCTTTTCTGAAGAGAGGTTTTATTGCTATTTGTATAGATCCTATATGAAGATATCTATATTCTTTTATATGTTCGACTATTAAAGTTTTAGTTATTAATGATATTTTTTCATGACTCGATAGAAGTTCTATTTCTTTGTCTACTGTTTTTACTATATATTCAGATTTAAACATATCTTTCCAATTTATTTTATAAATAGTTGATATTTCGAGTTTTGGCAGGGTCCATTTATTAGGTTGATTCTCTATTTCTGGAATAATTAGTTCATGGTGTACTATGTTCATGTTACTGGTTTCTTCTTCTGTATTCTTATTTTCTTCAAACTTTTCTTTTCCTTTAGATAAAAGTTTTATTAATTTCGCCATCTTAAGGGCAAGGTCTAAGATGCTCGCGAACACCACAAGTTTTATTGTCACTTGCTTGGTCTTATTACCTAAACCGGTTTACCAACACTCATCTACCCTCAAAGACTCTTAGACAATGTTTAATTAATAAAAAAAAATCTATTAGAAAAGTTCGAGTTTTCGGAAAATAAAAATTCAGAGAGAATAATCAGTTATACAAACAAAGTACGTGACTTTGTTGTTTCACACTAAATCATCAGGATTTGAACCTAACAAAGGTGATCTGGATTAGCCTATTATGCTTCAAGCAACCCAATTGGAAAGATTTAACTATCCATTTTCCAGTCGATATACTTTTAAACAGTTTTTCGATGTGGAGGATCGCAATCACAATGCATACTTATTCAAATTAACAGTTTATATATATATATATATATATATATATATATATATATATATATATATATATATATATATATATATATATATATATATATATTCTCTTAGGTTTACTTGGGTTCTATAAATAGGTTTATTTAGAATATTTACCACTACACCTCATTCTCCACTCTTCTTAGTAAGGTTTGGATATGTTTCTCGAAATTTCATGGTTTTCTCCAAAGTCAATGTATTGCTTTCCAAATACTATCCCTATGATATATCCTACCTACTCACCTTATCACAATTATAATAATCTTTTTAAAAAATCAATTTTTTGTTTTTAAGAGTCTATCAGTTGTTAATTATATATGATATGGATTTTTGTGGTTAAGAGTCTATAATTTGTTAATTATATGATGTGGATTTGAAAGATTTATTAAGTTTTTCATTTTAAAAAAAAATATTTATAGAAGAAAGTATATATAATTGATTTCGTTCCATATTTAACCGTGATTTTTTTTTAAATTGATAGAAAACCTCTATTTGTTAGAAGTTGCCCTAACAAAATATGAAAAATTAGAAATCAGAATATTTATTATCAAATTAATGATGAGGATACATAAGGTTATATATTTTATGTTTGTTTCACTCTAATTATACGTATAAAAAAATCAATTTAGTGAAATCTATTTTATCTTATTTCACCTAATTAGAGAAAGGTTTTTTTAGGTTAGGTAAATTTTACAACCTTTAAAAAAAAAGAAAAAAGAAAATTATTTATTTACCAAACCGTATTTATAAAAATACTATTCTCACTTCGTTTATAGTTTGATCGAACTTAAATTTTGACAACGGCATAAAATTTGTCGTTTTTGACAGATGGTTGAAAATATCATTCTTACATATTAGATTTTAGATTTATTTTCTTTATTTTTTAAATTTGATAATATTATTATTTTGATATATTAAGCGTGTGTTGACTTATATTTTGATTTGAGCCTCTTATATTATTTTTTATTTTTATATGTGAGTGGATATTTTTTTTATACCAATATTTTTCTTCCATATTGAAGAATTTTTTTTATGTTACTAATATCCTTTTATTATTTTTATCATTTTTTATTGTTATTTTTATATATATTTTTGTAAGTATATAAATTATTTCTACTACATATTTTTAATAATTTTTAGATTGTTGTATTGGTTTTTTTAATAATTTTTAAATTGTTATGTTTTTTTTTCTATATTTTAAATGATTTTATTCAATATTTTATTTTGAATGGTTTCATCTTATCTTGTCCTGAATATCATTTATGATTGTGAAGTTATATTTTAATTTTTTTTTAAATTGATGGCCTCATCAACAATGGATTATCTTGTCCTTTTTCTTTCACTCCCTTGCTTTTTCTCTCATACAAACACCACAGGAGACAGGTTACATTATCCTTCACTCCTTAGCTGGGGCACAAACTTTTTATACTACTTTTATGTCATGTCTTTGTCCATAATAATTTTTCATTTTTAATCTGTCTGGTCACCTATGGTGATATCTTCTCTCTCATCACTTCTTTTTACAAATTTAAACTTAATATCTTAATCAAAGGGACCAAGTTTAGTAGCACTCATAGACTTCTTAGTATTGCTAAGTTTTTTTTTTTTTTTTTTCATTGCTTGTAATTAACATAGGCCTAAAACTGTTTTTTTCCTTGAAAACATTTTATTCTCTCTACAAAATATTTTTGCAAATTTTCTATTGAGATGAATTTAAAATGTGTTCCATATTCTTCTTTGGTCCACATGAACAGTGCACACACTTCTTCGTCGTTTCCATATTTTATTGTGAGTAGCTCTTGAATCCTTTTCTCCAATCATGTTGTTTTATATAGGAAATTAACTTGTGAAATAATCTTCATAAATTTGTGTAAATTAGTTCATCATGTATAAATCCAATTTAATAACCCCAAATAAATAAAATGAAGAATTTTGTGTGCATGGAGAATGGGCTGGTTTTGTCGGCGATTGATTCGAGGGACCCACCCGACGATGACAGTTACGTTACAAACACACAGCACCGACCGGCCAACGACGTCGTTTTTTGTATTTTTTCACGTGTTTCATCGCTAACCTGAGTACGACTGTCTGTCATAAGGTAATTATTGCTTCGCTTGCTTCCTCCTTAAAAAAACATGTTTCTTTCTTTAACCTACGAAACCTTTTCACAGTCTCATGTAAATTATTAAAAAAATATCATTTTTTCTTTATTCTTCCATTGACTTTATATTTACTTCAAACATCGTATTTCCATTTTCTGTATATTATACAGAAAATTCTTGTAACTCAAGAAACGTATACTACATCTTTAATTCGTATAACAAAGACTCGTATTTTTAAGTTTCTCGAGTTTGCTTTAAATTAAATTAAGAGTTATGTCCATGACAGTGTTTACTTGTATATTTATAAAACTTATCCATTTAATATAAAATAAATAAGTATATTTATTCAATTAATCATTCATCAACATAAAGGAATATTAAAGTTGTTTAAGACACGATTTAATATTTTATTGAAAGTGTTTAAAAAAGGCATTAGTCATTATACGATTTATTATTTTTATGAAGAGAAAAATTTCAACCAAATAACATATAAAAGTCATATTCTATCATCATCAATCTGCATCCCTAAATTCAATCTATATTTTATATCCATCCATGAGAATTTGCTCTTTACTAATTATAAAGTTGATATAGAAAAAACTATTAAAAACACTTATTCTTAATTATATTTTAAAATTTTTATAATATAAAACAAAACTACAATCTGTATATATTTAATCATGCGGGATTCATTTTCCTCACACACGTTGTTCTTAATTCAATTGTAAAATTTGCATGTAAATATATTTAAACATACCGATTATATTAGTGATGATTGATTTAGAGTTTAAGGATTAGAGTATATTCAAACTTCATCTTAAATGTATGCGCACAAAAATATATTTACTTCAATATTTCACTCAAATTAATTTCAATACCGTAAAATATTAATTCTGACTTTTGTTTAGGTTTAACACTTTGTTTGTTATGAATGAAAACAAAACAAAAATAAGACAAAATAACGTGAAAGTATGAGAAATATATTAAAAAAATCATGTGAGACTCACATATCCAATCTTTCACTCAAAATATTATGAAGAAACTAAAATGTGAATTTATACTATCCATAATCAATGTTGATATTTTAGCCAGCACACATATTCGGCTATTTAAGAATATATTTTATTTACACAATTAAAAAGTTACACTCGTTCCCTTTAATTATTTAAAATAATAATAATAATATATCATTAATTATATCCTTAAATATTTCTTTTTACTTAATCTATCAAATAAACAATATCTTAAAAGAACATAAAATTGTAACACTTTTTTTTCTTAAAAGAAAAAATAACAATTTAAATTAATGTTATAACTAATTAATTAATATCAAAAATTATTTTTCATATAAATTTTTATATTTTTTTCTCTCGTCTTTTCTTTTCATTGAAACAAAGTGTAAGTGTAAAACATCTGTCCAGTATTATTCAATTATTTTCATGGGCCAATATCATTCGATTACCAAAATAAATAAAAACTCATTTGGTATAGTTTTTGTTCTTTTTAAAACAATGGTGTTTTTTAGTTGTCAAGTGTTTTTTTTTCAATAATATGGCTTACATATTATTAAGAGTAATTATTAAAGTACCACTTATATTAAAAATAGATACAACATAAATGATAAGTTAAAGATGTGGTTTATTAAATATGGATTAATTAAATTTTTTAATAACTGTGTGTTAATTTAGAAAAATATTATATGAGAAGGAAAGAAGTAATAAAAAAAATAATTTAGTGGGGAAAGTAATAGAATGAAGATGATTGAGTAAGAAAGAGATGAGCGGAAAAGAAAAGGTAGGACATGCAAATTTTTTTTTTTTTGCATTGCATCATGAACAAAAATGCAGATATCATGTATTAAACAAAAATCGATTTTACTGTGAGAAAAAAAATTGAAGATCCATCCAAAGTTCGTAATTAATTATCTTCACTTTCTTTATTTATTTATTTATTTATTTTTAATTTAAGCATGTTTCTTACTAGAAAAATATTTTCATATCTCAAAATTGTGATTTCTGAAAATTGTAAATTTTTAGAATTTGTTTTTTTAGGAAAAACTAAAATATATATTGATTGTGAAAAAATATTACTGAAAATACTAATATATTTTTTAATAAATCGAGGTAAACTTTTTATTTTAAATCAGGAAAATTAATTTTCTTATTTTTACATGTAAGTAAATGAAATGAGGGAAATTCTGACCTCAAGTTCCCCGTAAATAATAGATAACAGTTTAACTTTTATAATTAGTTAATCTAAAAAAAAACAATTCTTGCTTTGTGATTCACTTCCACCGTTTCTTCTATCTGGTAAATAACCGGGGAAGGAAAAGTGGGAGTGAATTAGAGTTTCACACAAATTGTAAGGAATAAGAAAGTTCATAAATTGTCGGGATGAGATTGAGGATGGTGTATGAAATTTCTTGCCTTTAGACGCACCTGAGAAAGAAAGTAATAGAAGGTAAACTCAAAAGGAAGAAGGGGAGGAAGAAGATAAGATCACAACGTAACACTTGACAGGACAGAAAGTGGAAATTTTGCATCAGAAAAGGACACGGCCCACCCCTTCCCTTTCCTCCGCTTGCGCCATCTTCTCTCTCTCGCTCACGCTTCAAATACCAGCAATGCTTCTGCCTCAATCTCAATTCCCATTCTCTTCCCTTTTCTGAGACTCTCATTACCATCGCCACAGCAATGGAGGATTCTACCTATCATCTTCAGAGACTCCATTGCTCCGTTAAGAACTACGATTGGGGTCTCCCAGGTAGTGTCTCCCAGGTTGCCAGACTCCACGCGCTCAACTCCGCCTCCCAATTCAACGCGGACGACCCTTACGCCGAGCTTTGGATGGGTACCCACGATTCAGGCCCTTCTTTCTTGGCCTCCAATGGGGTCTCCCTTAAGTCCTGGATTTCCGACAACCCTGATGTGCTCGGCGACCAGGTTCTTGTCAAATGGGGTTCTGATCTCCCGTTCTTGTTCAAGGTGTGTCTCATTGATCCCTCCCATTACAACTGTGACTGGGTGTGTGAGTTTCGGTTCTGGCACAAGATTAAATCTTTCAGCGCATTATGTTTGTTAGGTGCTGTCTGTGGGGAAGGCTTTGTCTATTCAGGCTCACCCTGATAAGGAGTTGGCTAGAATTCTGCATAAGCTGCACCCGGATTTGTATAAAGATGGGAATCACAAACCTGAGATGGCTCTTGCAATCACTAATTTTGAGGCTCTTTGTGGATTCATCACTCTCAAGGTACTACTCCATTTTTTGGATTATCATTACTGAATTAAATTATTCTCTTGTTCTCTGTAGTTGTCTCCATTCGAAGTCCAATAAGTATAAATCTTCCCTTTCAAGCTCTTACCATTCCACCATTCAAGTTCCTCTGTATGATAAATATTAAATTTTTATACTTTCGAGATATTATTTATTTTTCCCTTTAGTATTCTCTTTATAGAGTAGTAGGAAAATTAATACGAGGATTAACAGGAGAATATAGCTTTACTCTTTTTGAAGTTTTAGTCTGTATACAAGAAAAAATTTAATTCTGACACATTTGGATAAGTTAGTTTTGGCTCTTGCTGAGGTCCCCAAGAAAACTATTTGACAGTATAAACTAGCAACGATAAAGCACTACCGAACATTGTGGAGGGACCAGAAATTTAAAATGGGAAGAATTAGAAATTAAACGACTAGTTTATCTTTTTATTATATTTTTAGTTCTCGGAGTGTTTATGAATATTTTGAGAATAACTGATTTGATTTTTCATCTACTGTTGAGAAAAAACAATCTTTTTTCTTTATGCCTGTGCTGTGTTCTTCAATTTTAAGTGAATGTTCTGAGTTTGAGCCTTATATTATATGGCAGAAAACTGGACAGGGTATGCGTGAATTTTCTGTCCTAAATGCCATTGATTGTAAATACATTAGAACTTTTTAATGCGTTCGGTGATAGTTTGATGTGTTAAAGACCACTTTTTTAAAGTTAAAAATAATATTCAGTATTCATGGACTTTGAGTGATTGGATAAGAACTGCCCACCTGTTAGGTATAATCCTGTGATGTGACTGAATGGTCCTTTTTCTGCTAACTTTACTTTCGTTATTATGTCAATCACGTTTCCATCCGTTAACAAGCTTCTTTCTGATGAATGCAACTTGTTATAGCCGACCAAACAATTAATAGAGAGCAACATATTAAAAAAAAATCAATTGATACCCATTTGAATGAATAAAATATGAAAGTGATAGTTATAGAGCAGATAGTGAAAGTTTGATTTCGTTTTATTATAGATCTGTTAGTGTGGTACTGCCAAACTGCAGCTATGTTACTTTAATTTAAGGTTTCGACGGGATTGGGTTTGGCTGAGGGGGGATTTTGATTTTTATTGTTATTTTCTTTTGGTTTACCCGCATTTCTGGCTTTACTTGAGTAATGTGATGAGTATTCACTCATTAATTAACTTTTGAGTTCGTATAATGGTTCTGCCATGGTTTATTTTTGTAATTCTCTAAGGTGGAAAATGACAACAGCATTTTTTAAATTGCATTAACTTCAGCGTTAGAAGTCTATTTGTTTGATCAAGCAATATGGATGCAATGACCAAGTTGTACTTGAAAACCAATATATCAGCCGAGGAATATTTTTTGTAGCTGAACATGAATATAATTCTGATTTTTAATCATGTCAATAATTTAAAGATATTTACTGTTTATGGGGAAAAAAATTCTTTGAGCGGTTCTTGTAGATCAGTGATTTTTTTTTCCTAGTTTTTTTACTTTTTCCTTTATGTTCTGTCTTTCTAGGGGTTAGAACTTGCGGTAGATGCTAGGACATTGTTTACTTGTTTGCTTTAATGATTTCTTAGGAAATGAGCAATCTTCCTGTTTCTGTTTAGGAGCTCAAGGGGGTACTTCATTCTGTTCCTGAAATTGTGGAACTGATTGGTGCTACAAATACGAACCTGGTCTTACAAACTAGTGATAAGGATGATGAAGAAAAGGTGAAACCTGTTTTGCGGGCAGTGTTCACCCATCTCATGTCAGCTAGTAAAGAGAGAGTAACTGATGCAGTAAACAGATTGACAAGTCGTCTGCTTAAGGAGAATAAGGTTTGTTTGTTACTTGCGCTATTTGATTTTAAGATTTTAGCATATGCGCTGATCTATCATTGAGGGTTTGTTCCTTTTATACCATATTGTTATTTAGATATAATAAATTGTCTGTCTGAACCTGTCAGGAAATATGTGGCAGTTTAAGTCTGTTCCAATGGTCACATAATCTTATGGTCAATAGCAATATACAATCGAAACTTTTTATTCTGCAACCATGTTATCTCCACTTCTGATGCTCTCCTTATTATGTACTAGATAGAGGATACTCTTGACAGATTTACTATTCACAGGAATTGACCTTCTTGACAGATTGTTAATACCATATTACTATCCTTTTGCATCAGGTGAGGCAGTTGACAGATAAAGAGCAGCTGGTTCTGCGGTTGGAAATGCAATACCCAGCTGATGTTGGTGTCATAGCAGCCTTCTTTCTCAACCTTGTAAAACTCAAACCCGGTGAAGCTTTGTTCCTGGGGGCAAACGAACCACACGCTTATTTATACGGAGAGTGCATTGAATGCATGGCAACTTCTGACAATGTTGTGCGAGCTGGCCTCACTCCCAAACTCAGAGATGTCCAGACCCTTTGTTCTATGCTCACTTACAAACAGGTACGTGATACATCAAGTTGCTACATCTTTTCATTCAGATATTCAGTTTACTTGAAAGAATTTACTATTCCCTTTGGTTATTCTTTGATAGGAATTCCAATAATGACTTGTTAAACCTCGTATTTCAGCCTTACACCTGATCACTTTGCTTAGGCACATGTCAGTTTTCTTTCTTCTATGAATTTCATCCTGGCTGGATTGATCCATATTGGTTACTTCTCTTATGTTTCTTTCATCCTTGGGCATCACCATGCCACATGGATTGCTTGGTTGATTATTGTTTGTGAAATATTGACTTAACATGAGCATGCATATATAGTTGAATACTCCACACATTTTGAGGGAAGATGTTGGTGTGACATGATCACTCTATAGGTGGCAGGAATACACGAGATTCAACGTTTGAGACCATTTTTTTCTCTGTTTTCTTACAGGGTTCTCCTGAGATCTTGCCTGGAGTTTCTCTTAATCAATATGTAAGTAGATATACCCCACCATTTGAGGAATTTGAGATTGATCATTGTATTCTTCCTCAAGGGGAAACAGTAGTGTTCCCAGCAGTTCCAGGTCCTTCCATCTTTTTGGTGACTGTTGGGAAAGCAAAGATGAATACAGGATCACCCAAAGGCCATTTAGTCACCGAAGGTGATGTGTTTTTTGCAGCGGCCAACACTGAGATAAGTATTACTAGCGCATCCGAGTTGCATATGTACAGAACAGGGGTAAATAGCAAGGTTTTTCATGCTTCCAAATCTACACAAGGGGAGTGAAATAATGCAATTATGTGCGCGTGGAATAGACGCAGTTTAGTAGTGTACATGCAAGCGTAAAAAAATCACAATTGAGTCTTAGAGAAGTTCATTATAGAGAATAAGTGGGTTATCCATTGTCATTCGATTGTTGTTCATAATAATGTTCGTTATAAGCCTTTCCGGATGTATTCCTATTCTATCATTCTATATCAATCAATAAACAAAGTGCCTACGAGCGATCGAATCCTAGAAGCGTAAGGAATAATGCTGCTTTGAATATGCGGATTATGCTTTCTTATGCTGATTTTTTTAATTTTTTTATTTTCAATTAAGATAGGAGAAATTACAACAAAAGAGAGGGTTGATGGTCAAGTTCATCAGTATGCTCATAGTGCAAATATTTATATGAATGATGGAGATTGGATATCCGGATCCATGTATTACAACTCAAATCACATTTCTTCAAGGATACATGTATTACATCATTTGTAATTATTTGAAGCATGTTCTCCGAGGAAAATGAGAAAAATGAATCAGGATGGCTTGCTTTACTATCTCTTCTTATTTATCTAAACCGTTTAACCATGAAAGAATAACCTCCGCGCCACTCTCCCACGCAACATCCAACATCATGTCATGAGCAACTGCTTCAACACATACTGGTGACACACCATAAAACTTTGCTGTTTCTTTCAGTCCTTCTTCATCCTAAAATATAACCAACGGAAAACGAATTCATTATTAAAGTTAAATAAATGTTGCAGAAATATTGGTAAATAAGATGACTGGGCAATGATAATTCAATGAATTAGACAACATCATTGGAGGATAAGATGCACTTGGTTACTTAAAATAATTTTTAGACATAAAATTACCACAATGAAGTCATCCTTTGCACCTAAAACAAGAATTTCAAAAGGGCAGTTTGCCACAGAAGGAACTGGAAGAGATGCATTCAGCTTTCTTAAATCAAACAACGGCATCCTTGAACTTTCTTTCATCAGGTCTTGATATCTGAAATATTAGAACATGGCAAAAAGGATTCAGGACTTTGTGGCAAACTACTGCTGAGTTGCTCACTAGAACTTAATACCAACAAGCACATGCCTAAACATCAAAAGTATTGGAAATATATGGGAAATAAGCTGCAAAATCAAATTAAACCCACCATTTGTTAACCTATTCAACTAAACTTTAACTTGAGTTGAGGTATGAGCTTAATCAAACTTAATATTCGGTAAGTTGAATTAGGATGAACATGAATAAATCGTGGGATATTTAACAGAGAAATAAAGTTCGTGTTCAACATTTTTATGTTTATGGACATACCTTGCATTCCTACAAGATTAATTCATAATGAATTCTTCAATAATAAAACATTATTTCCCTGTTGACATTATTTGAGCTTACTCCATATAATCGAAATGACAGTAAATCAATGTTTTCTTACTAAAATGTCAAACATATTCATAATTTGAGGTTCAGTGAATTGCAATGCGAATTTGCAAAGGTATGTTAAGCATATTTTTGAAAAGAAATTCCTTGCTTTATCCCCTGCCTCTGCCCTGTTAATAAGCTCCCGTTAGAACTAACAATGTTTTGGTACATGGACAGTACATGTCATTGTTCATTAAATCATTTCCACAATCTAGTAAGTAGTAACAAGCCATGAATATATCACGAAGAGTCATCTTTCCATTTGAAATTGGAATAGAAAGAAATGCTCATGGTGGAATGTTTCCAGGAAATCAAACCTTTTAACAACATGATCCTCCATAGTGGCTGAGAAAAATGTCTCCTTACAAAGGGGAAGAGAGGTCTGAAAAGCTTTTGCGGCCAGGCTGCGAGTCACCTGCCAGGTGGTGGATACATTCATATCAGAAGATAAACACTGGAAAAGTCACTTTCTTCAGAAAATTCAGTTCAAATACCTTGAAGGCAGTAATTGGCTTGGATAAGACATAACGCCACACTATCCCACTAATAAAATTAACGAAGAAATATCAACCAGTGCAATCACAGTTCAAAGGTTCATCTTTCTCTCTTAAATAATATCAATAGCATACTTGATAGTTTAGTTACCTATTACCAGAAGGAGGTACAGAGCAAACAAGGGCAGCTCCTTTAAGCTTTGGGAATAAATCTTCTATTTACAGAATCAAAGCTCAAATGAATTAGCATAATGAACAAAAAAAAAATGAAAAATTATCAGAAGAAAATAGTAAGGGACTGTCCATAGATTAAATGGGTTTTGACAGACAAAATCATCTTATCGAATCCCAATCAATGAGTTGGATCCAAAATTTAAGTGTCATATGATCTAATTCAATTGTTTGGACAGAGGATAGTAAATAAATCATAGTTTATATCTTGGACACATTTTATTATCAAAATTTACCCTTTTAAAACTGTCCATCTATAGTAGAATCCTAAATACACCACATGTTCATTTGGGAACATTCACCATGGTGTTCTCATGTCCAGTTCACAGTAACCAAAATAAGCATCTGGTGCAAATAATTCAAAACAATAAACCAATAGTAAGAGCCTACAACTCAGAATAATCTAATTTAATCATTTTCAACAAGCAAGTTAACAGACAAGCCAGGGTGAGGAGGCACCTTTGAGTTTGCCACTTCCTACATTGGAAATATAATATTGAATAATAAGTCCTCCAAATGAATGTCCGACCAATACAGGCGGTGATCTAATATTTCGACAGATAAAATCTGCTACATCTCTTGCGTGTGTCTACTGCAAAACATGGTACGAACAGGAAACTATAAGAGTATATGATCATAATCCATTGTGAGATCTGCCCAAATTATCAAAGAAAAATTGGAACTTAATATATAAACATAGCTTAATCCATCAATTTCATCCTAGAAGTATTATTCTTTCTCATAAAAGAAATACTTAAGTAGTCCTAGAAATATAAAATAAGAAATCATGTTAAGTAGTATTCCAAGTATTAAAAAAAATCCTTCACAAGTATTATTGTACTTTAGTGAAATTCATCAACTTAAGGACTCAAGTGATAGATATTCAATACTTTCAAAATAAGTTGAATAATTTTATTACGTTAGAGACTATTTAGGAGACAAAGTAATATTTACTATTTTTGAAAATAAGAATCAGTATACTAGAGCTTATTACAGTAACTGGTGGTTAATTCTATAAACAAATGTCAACTAGTAAAGGAAGAGGTACACACCTGAAGTGTACCGGCAACAGAATCAGCAGGTGCATCACTTTCACCCTGCCCAAGGAAAAATCACCACTAAAAGATAACATATTTGAAACTGCATATAGATTGACACTGAAACTAGCAACATGCGTGACATAATTGAAACTGAATTTTGTTATTTTTTTTTTTTTTATGAAAGTTACCCTTCTGAGAATGTACCTGTCCTAACAAGCTTACGGCACAGCAATCGTAGCCAAAAGATGAAAAGAAGGGCAACCAGTGGTCAGCCCAACACCAGGCAGCATGATAGCTTCCATGAACAAAAACCAAAGGAGGGTATTCGACATTCTTGCTGTTTTCTGCACCCTTTTGCACTATCACCTCCATGCTTAGACCAGATGGGAACTCGTGAAAATTACGACTCTGCCCTTGCTTCAGATCGTATTGTACACCCATCTTCTTCTCTCTGCTCAGAACCGCAAAAGTCTTCAAATTGGAACGGCTCGTGAAAATTGTGTGCGACCCAGAAACACAAACAGCCATTGCCTCTCTTCTTTTTCTTCAAAGCTTCGGTCTTTGGTATCAACAAGATAAGGGTCACCCTCAACAACTGTAACACCAAGCTCTCTCTGTTTTCTGCTTCTTCTCCAGCTTGTTTAGTGTAATAGATTAAAAGGAAAATTAAATCTACTATTTTAAATATTAGACAAATGTTTCCAATGTTTTTTAAACTCACTTAAATACATAAAGAAAAGAAATATAGCATTAAAGTATTAATTTTTCAATAAAACTTAAAAGACATTTTAAATAATTGTTCTGTTGTTTGGTTTTTCCTTTCAACCACTATTGGAGATTTTTATAATCTATAATAAAATAAATTGTGAAATTAAATATGTTATTTTAAATGTTACTAATATTTATTCAAGACACTATGATTAAATAAAACAAATGGGAAATAAATTTTATTATCGAATGTTATTAACAATAAATATATTTTTAATAAAATAATATATAAACATACTTGGAAATTAAATGTTATTAATTTGTCAATAAAAAATTTATGTACAGTTGAAAAATGCAAAATGCATTAATGTTGAGATCTTCAAATATTTTGACGTAAAAGAAAAAAAATTATTATTGAAATATCTTCAATATTTTTTAATCAACTAAAACAAACAAAAAACGAAAAATATAATTTTATTATTATTGATTTATCATTAGAAAGGACTTACAGTGAAAAATAATATAAACAACATAAAAGAAAACATCTGACTTAAAATATCGGAAAGAAAGAATTTATGGTTCATAATATTATGTAACTCCAAGCCCAAATTCAATTAAAGTGGGCCGAGATGGGACGCGTTGGTCCAAACTTAAATTCGAAACCACAAAAATGGGTGTGGGATCTTCTCGTTGTTCGAGTGAGCAGCCACCCACCCTTTGGCGAAGGTAAAATCCCTTTTGCTTATGTTTTATATTTTCTCAATTTTCTGCAAAATTGAGTTTTTTTTTTGGATCACAATATTATTTACTGCACCATCTTTTATTCATTCAGCTAAGTCCCTCATATGTTTTTTTTTTTTGTATATCTACTGTTTGACGAAATGTCTGTATCTTTGGTTATTATACTCAATTGTGGGCTCTGCTAGTTTTTATTTGCGTAATCTTACCTTTGTATGCTCAAGGGCGTAGGTTGAGCTGAAGTTGTCTTTTGGAGTTCTATTTAAATATGTAAATGATTCCTTGGACCTGAATTCCTCAATTTGTTTGCTTGTTTGTCCAAATATGCCAACTGTGAGTACATGATTGTGGATTCGGAACCTGATTCTTGGGATTTCCCATGTTTCAAATTGATTTTGAGCTTCATATTTATGTTTTCAGAACAAATGCAAATCAAATACTTTAGAGCTTGATTTAGAGTTATGTAAGCCTTTTCCTCAACTGAAATACTTACATTATATAAATATCTTTTAACCTTCCATCATCCAGTTTTTTTGTTCTTGGTTACGTTGTAGTTCTGTTGTCTATGATTTGTATCAGTATCTAATCCTCTTTATTATTCTGATTGTTCAAAATACAGAGATGGAGACACAATCTTGTGATGGTAAGCCCCAGGTGAAGGCCACATTTCGTCTTGGCTCAGAATCATACACTGTTGAGGCAAAAAAAGGTTCTTTATCAGAGCAATTGGTTTCACTGAAAGAGGAAAGCATGACCATATTGAAGGATTTCATAACAAAGCATAATGTTCCTCATGATGTACCAGATGAGTCATTAGAAGCTTTTTCTTCAGAGGATGATGATGTTGAAGTTGATGATATTCCTGAGAAGCCTCAAGAAAAGTCTAAGAAAACTAAGTTGACTTAGCTTTTCACTCGTATTTGTTGAAAATTTACCAAGTTGTTTTTGGTAACAGACTACAACACGTAGAGACTTTTACCTTTATGGAGGTAATATTGTGTTTCTCTGGTCATATGTTTTCAGTTCTTCTTTTCTGTCTGAGTGGTTGCTTTTTCTAGCTGGCTTGTATTGTTTGGAACCTTCAACGGGTATTTAAGGCTGTTTTTATTAAGATCCGAGATTGAGTCCAAAGATATTTCGGAAGCCATGATATACTCATCTTGTGAAGAAATAAATCACTAATAGAGACAACTCTTTCATTCACAAACGTTTTTCTATGCACACTTCTGAATCATGTTATTGCTACCGTATCTTTACTGTAAACGTAATATTTTATCGCAACTCATGTTAAATTGATTTCCAAAATATAAATAATATTGAAAAAATAGAATTTTTTTTTTTAAGAAAAGCAAAATCTCAATTAGCCCAATCATTAAATTGGTAGTTAAGGTATGTGAAATTGTACCAATATTTGGTTGTAAAAAAAAAAAAAGAATTTCCTAGTTGGTTGGCTGTCTGATTCTAAAATTAATAAAAGCCAATGCCAAATTTGACAAGGGTGATGGTATCAAAAACTTCAAATGATAAAATTGTTTTACAAAGTTTCAAGAGGTTGTGGGAGGTTTTATACAATAGGTCACGCATTTCATATTCGGTCCCCTGCACGTGAATCAGCACCCAAAACCATTGGAGATACCAACATCTTGCCATCAACCATTTTATTGATTCATAGGGTAGAGACTCATTTTTTTCCACCTACTTACTTACGTACTGATTTTCTTTTAAATACATTCTCCCCTAATTATCAATCAAAGCAAGGGATATTTTATCAATTTATCTATTTTTATTCTTGTTTCTATAAAGTTTTACTTTTTCTCATTTCATTTTATCTAATTTGTTTTATCTTACTTTGGAATTCAAGTATTTTAAAAGTTAATAATTACACAGTCTATAGACATATCTAAGGTGCATACAGATTTCTCCTGTGCACAATTAGACTTGTATATTCAAACTTAATTTTACTGTCTAGTTTTTGAAAAGTAAAGTTTCAAAATTTCCCTCGTTTTTAATAAAATAGATAGCTACTCTTTTTTCTTTTTTTCATAAACTTCAATTGCCTCTCATTGCAAGGCCGTTTGGGCCATCTTGAGACATGTAAAGTACCTTGAAAATTCATAAGTTCAACTCAAACATGACTTCCTAAAATTCTTATTCAAATGAAGTGAAATCCCTGTTGGCTCAGTATAAGCAGGTGTCCTCTACACACCATGACCCTCTTTTGTGGCAGGTTTGGTCATGGCTTTGGTGATGACATGAGTAAGAATCCCAATGGGGCAGAAGAACAAGCAAAAAGAAATCGAATGCCTAGTTTCAATCTGATTCTTCAGTCCATCTTGAAAAACATGCCTGAATTCAGAACCACAAATAGCATTAGATAATTAAGTAAAGAGTAAGAAACCAAGACAAAGGTCAAATGCATGACCTTGCAGCGAAAAGATCAACAACCAACAGGTGAATCCAGGCAGAGGCCAAAGTCATCTCACTGGAGAACATTCTTGCTATACCAGGCAGCTGCATGAAGTATATAGTGTTATCAGGTGGATAGAACTCTTTCTGGGAAGAAAAACTTCATTGCTGAATGCATACAACACACCTCTGGTAGCAAGTATTTACTTGCAAAAATCAATCGAATTGTCTCTGGGGTCCAAGAAAGGTACAATAAATATGCATAGAGAATCCCAAGCACTATATATGGTAGACTACTCTCCATAGACTTCTTGGTCTGCATTTTTGCACTTAAGATGAATCAGGACAGACGTGAAGTACAAAATCAGAAACCCAATAGAAGTGTACGAGAAAGAAAAATATCCAAATTCCCAACAAAAGATACATACTAGTACAGAAAAAGATTTCAAATTTATTTTGGCTGGCATGTTAGCTAAACAGACAGATGTTAATATAGCAAAAAGGTTGCCTATGAACCGTGATCACCGGTCATAAATTTTCTCTAATGCAGTTAGACACATACTAGATCAGAATTTGGAGCTAGGACCATAAGTGTGTAAAATGGGAGCACTGCTATTGTTCCAGCTGTAAATGCAGTGCTAGCAAGTTGAGATCCTATGAAGCCTGAAAAATAAAGGTAAAAAAGTGAGTATCACGAAAAACTATGGTCACAAACAGTTATAAAGAATAAAGGAATGTTCAGTAAACTTTGTACAAAGCGTACAGATGGTCAAAATGGCAAAAAAAACCTAATCAACACATCATTGCTATTTTTTAGAAAATTACTACTGATGAAAGAATTTCTCATTGGCATAGCTTTTACAGTAAAATAGCAAAATATCAACAGTTAAAAGCAAAACTTTATACCCATCAAGAATGAATGTAATGATTGAAGGAAATTTTAGACTACATTTGTTAGTCAATTTTCCCCATCCTGGGGTAACGCGAGAAAACTAAATGGTAACTCCATTCTTATGGAATGAAGACACAAATTACACAAAAGAAATTCACGAGATGGAGGCAAGTATAGCTCAATAGATTCAGTGAAACCTGATGCATTGCCTACCTTTCCAAGAAATTAACATCTGCTTAACGAGCAGAACTAATAGAAAGATTAAAATTTTAAGCACAAATCATAATCAAGTGTCAAGCATGTTAGAACAACCAGTTCATATTCGATATTAAAGAGTTTTCTGTCCAAAGAAAATTACTTTCGTCAAAGGCTATCAAATTCAAGTTAGAATATGCTACAGTATGATAAAAAAGGTAGGAACGACAACAGCACAGATAGCTGAAATCGGCAGCCACGTGAAAAATGGGAGACTAAGGTAAAAGAAACAACTTAATATCAATATCCAACAGTTTTAGAATAAGAACCAAAATATATCAATGGGGAAACAGCTCGCGCCAATGTTATTTACATAAATCAGAATGCAGGGAAAATTTTCAAGGGTCAACATGAGTAATTTTCAACTTCACCTGACACAAGGAAAAGTGTCGATCACATGCAAATGCAAAGCACCAGACTTCAATAGGGTGCTTACATGAATTTGGTCCAGACAAAGAAACATGTTTTAAAATTGAGTTTGAAAAGGACAAAATGTAGCATAAGGAGAGGATTACATGAAAGTTGGATTTGACCCCTTTTTGGATAATGCAGCCTTCTTGTAGTATTTGGTTTAACAACAATTGTGGATCCTCCTATGAAACTCCAATCTCCGCTTAAGTTGACCCGTGGAAAAATTCCCTGCAATCTTCTACTTCCCACAATGTCTCTGTTACAGTGCTCAGCCCCATTAGTTCTGATAGGGAAAGCAAAATTTTGCCCTTTTCCAACAGAACCACAAGGTTTTATAGCCTGCCCCAAATGTAAGAAATAGAATCTCAATTATAAGCATAGTTCTTGAGCCCACAAAATACACCTTATGCTATCCATACATATGAACAAATTGATTGATATTAAAGGTTTTTTTTTTCAGTGTAGAAATAACCAGGTTGTGCAGATGATTATTTAAATGACAGTTCAACACGAAAGGACTACAGAAAAGTCAGTTTTTGAAATACAAACTCCTTTTAACTCCACTATACCAACAAGCGCCTGGTATAGATCCATGCAAAGCAAAACAAACAAACAAACAGCCTTGTAATATTTGAAAGAAAAAAGAAATTCACAAATGCCCATTTCGTTAGTAAAGCTTAGGTGATTCAAATCTACGCAAAATGACCATTTTCAACCTAATAACCAATCAAAGTTTAAAACTTTAGAGTTCAAACGTAGGGAATGAAATTCCAATCTAAGGGGCGGGGAATGAGCAGAAGCCCAGAAAAAAATAGCTGATAAACAAAAGTAGGGATCACCAAAAAGCTCAAAGAAGATTGCATGTAAGGTTAGAAAGCAATAGCAGCAATAGAAAATCAAAGAGAAAGCATACCTTGAGTGTCAATGGGAAATGGGAAAGGCAATGAGAGAAAGACATGATTGAAGGATAAGCAAAAGTGCCAATAAGTGATTCAGCAACAGTGGCCACCTCTTCATATATATATATATATATATATATATATATATATATATATATATATAAGGTAGTATGAATGAGGAGTGACAGGATTTGGTAGAAAGAAGAGAAAAACTCAACGGAGCATTGGAGAGAAGTGAGGAACTCAAATAGTCGGAATTGTACGGAAGACAAGAAGTAAAGACACTGCAAGTTAACAAAAATTAGCATTGCAATTTTAAATGATTATTTACAAAAAAAAAAAAAAATCTCCTTTAGATGGAAACACTCGGATATGTCGAAATTATTTAGGAAATAAAAAATAACAAAGTTGATTGATAAAAGTCCGTTTTTTTTTTTTTTTACTTCCGAAATTGACACTGGCAGTTTATCAAACAGGACCATAAACTTACATTTCACAAATTATTGAGATATAATTATTTATTTTATTTTATTTGATTAGTTTAAGTTATTTGTTAATTAAATGTGTTTAGAGTAAAATCATTTATGGATAATAAATTTTAATACATTTATGTGTCTAATATTCTATCTTCACTCAAATTATTTACAATATATTTAATGTGAGTATAATATTTAATAATTATATGATGTTATTTATGGACAAAAAATTACTTAAAATATATATAAATATATGAGTTTAATGCAATAACATAACTTTAATTAATAAAATAAAAATTTTATACCTTAATAATATGTGAAAAATAAATTAAAATTAAGTTAATCTTTGCTTTATCAAATACTAAATCGTGATAGATTGAAAAAATAAATTGGAGTGGTTAGACAAAATTGTTACAATATAAAAAAGAAAAACACATCTACATTATGCATTTGTTTTATTTAGAGAATTAATTTGAGTTAAAACAAACACTCTTTTTTTTAAAATACCAAAATTTCTACTTACTTTTATAATAAAAATTAATAAAACCAAATCACGCTATGTCAAAATTAATTTTGAATGTAAATCAAGTTTATAAACTTAGTTTTATTCAAAAATAAATTCATTAATCAAAGTTCATTCCCTTACATAAGTACAAACAAAATCCCTGATCTTCTTAAATATAAGTTTCTCACCAATGGTGGCTACTAGAAAACAATTATGAAAAATACTATATAGAAAATATTTATAATTAAAATTGATTTTGAAATATTGTGATTGTTACTTACATGTTTTTATTAGTAAAAGTACTTTTATTCAAGATCATTCTGAACAAAAAAATAATTATATAAAAAGTGGTATAAAATTACAGAAATTAATAGTTGAACATAATTAAAAAATGGAGTGTAAAAAAATAAAATAAAAAGAAGTCACGCACGTTTCGTTGCATGTCCTTTGTCTTAGTGTGGTTCTGATAAGGCATGACGTGGATTCAAATTTTGGAATCATGCTTGCTTCTCCATGTGAGCCTTAGCTCGGCTTCGACTTGCACAATTTAATAATAAACAAAATTGTATTTTATTTATCAAACTTAAAATTAAATATTCAATATAAATTAACAGTTTTTATGAATTTACATATAATTCAATTATTTATCAATTATACTATATTATTTACTATTTTTATGATAAAGAGGAAATATTAATCAGGTAAATATTGTCTTTTTATATTAAATAATTTATTAATGGTCTGATTAATACTCACCTTTTATATTATTATTATTTTTAAATATATTAATAAAAAAATTAACCTTTTTTATTTATTTTCTGGACGATGAACACATTGAGCAGAAAGCACATGATTCATAACTTTTATTATGTTTTGAGAGGACTCGAAATGAAAATCATAAAAATTTGAACTTTCTTTCTTCCCTGCGCAAAATCCTCGCGTGTCCACACATTCATCATGACTTGACCTTTTTTGTTTAGACAACACTTCAAAAAATACTTATAAATCCTTATTTTTCAGATATTTGATTCACATTTTTATAAAATGTTAATTTGATTTTCATCGATTTCAGCAACTATTTGCTATGTTATGACATGATCACATTGAACAGTGTGCCATTTTCCGGGAAAATGGTGGCTAGTTTGACGGAAAAGGTCAGAGGGTTGTCAGTTGGTGAAGTGGAAGCCAACTTCAAAGTTTGATAGAACAGAACAGCAGCTGTCTCTTTGCTCTCAAATGGTTTGTTTGTCTCCAAAAAACACATCTTTGCCAAATTGCCACCTTCTTTCACCTTTCACTTTTGTTCCTCTGTTCGCGTTTTCAAGCTCAGAATCATTACCCTCTAATCTTTTCTACTCCACTCTTTTAATGTTGTTTTATTTTATTTATGGGTTATTGAGTTTAGAAATTAATCTCTACTTAGTATTAATCAGTTTAACTAGAAAATATTTTATTTTTCCAAATTTTCAGAATTATAACTTCGCTTCTTCTTATCCGTATTCAATTGACTCGGTTAGATAAATGAATAAAGGTAATTGTTGTTTTAGATTACAAATATTTTTTATTAAAAATAAAATATTTGTCTAAGTATTTAACGTAATTGTGTAGTTAGAATTTGATATAAAAAATCAATTGATCTCACATTTGGTGGCACGTGATAGTGTATGTGTATTTTCAGAAAAAATAAAATAAAATAAAAGTACAGTATTTAATAATTATTTGAACGTAACGACGTCGTATGAGCTTGCTCCTCTATCATACTAACTTCGTTGTTTTACCTTAAATAGGATTGCCCTGTGCACATTCTCCCCTTCCAATCGCCCTCTCAGCTTCGTTGATTTCTTCGTTTGGTGGATACCCTCAAAGGTCTCTATCTTGCAATTTAACTGTGCTTTGATTTGTTCATTTTTTTAATTTTAAGTTTTAGTATTCTGTTCATTACCCTATGTGGAGATCCATTCTCTATTTCTATGCAAGTACCCCTTTTAATTTTGTGATTGCTAGCTGTTTGTAAGATGGAGATAGTGATTATAGCTGTTTAACTTAAACCCAAGTTTGGTTTTGTATACTGGCTCTTCTTGGCCCACCCATAACAAAGAAAAGGCAAATAGTTAACATTTTTCATGGTTTGATCTCAGATCTGCTGTTGATTTGTGCACTGGTTCCACCCCATTTTTAGGTTGTAATCGGGATACAGTGAAATGGGTGGTGGAATTTTGTTTTGAAGTTTAGTTTTTTTATTTTTCTATTTTCCATTTTGATGTATGTAATGTAATTAATGTTGCTAAATGGATCTGTTGGTTACTTCTGCTGGGATGTGTGCTCTCATTCCCTTTTGTAAATAATTGAGATTTCAGTGAATAAAATAAAATTCCAGCTTCTGTTTGCATTTACTGATTTCTTTTCTGGCTTTCCTTAGGCGTTCTAGTGCGGAAGCTTGCAAATTTTGAAGATGAATTTTTATAATCTTCATCAGAGTGCCTTCTCAGCATGTGAAGAGATGAGAGACTCTCTTCCCATTGCTGATCAGAATGGCCCTGTCTTTTGCCCTAAGCCACGCCGAGCTGGAGTTTTAATGAACTTGCCTATTCGACCAGTGAAATGGCATTTAGGGTAAGTTTTAAGATTGATTTTTTCATTTTGACGCCATTATTATTCTTTCTACTGTGATGAGGACCTGGTCTGTTTGTGTTTTGATGTTCATTAGCCAACAAGCTGAGGGGTCTGATTCAAAAGCTGGGGCAGAACTACTTGACATTGTTCTAAAGAGGGTAAGAGATGGCACTGTTACAAGTTATTTAGCTTATGTTTAAACCTAACCAAGGAGTATAAACAATTATCAAATAGCGTATAAATTTATCTTTCTTAAAATTGTTTTTGTTTCTCAAGAATGCATGAAATATGGATTTTTAATTTGATACTAATATGTTCATTTTTATGTGGGAATGCGTGTGGTATTTTTCATAGTTGCATCTTTAGATTGCCACTTTTATTGGAATGTTTTTGGGCTTAAAGCCATGTAGTATTTTTCAAACTTGAGCAAGGTTTTAAGAAACGGTCTTCAGGTCTTCAACTGCAACAGCGGCTGCAACACATAAAGATTTTTTGGGGCTCTGCAGCCGCAAATGCTGGCAGATTAGCCCTATTTGTCTGCAATTCTCTGCAATATCATGCATCGTGACAAAACCGCATCCCTGACTACGACTGCAATTTAATACCATGTTTTTCAGTTATTTTTAATGGAACTGCTGACATTTGTCATGGCCTTTGGTTTTGCTGCAAGTGGTGTTCCCTGTCTTTGATCTTTGATTGATTAATTTTTATTTTGTTTTCAATAGGAGAGTTATGGGGAAGATTTTTCCAATCAGATACCTTCCTCTCCTCCATATTTTTGTGGTTCTCCTCCTGTTCGGGCTGCGAATCCCTTGATCCAAGATGCTCGATTTGGGGATAAAGAGAACGCTCTTGTATCAACAATTTCATCGCCTTCTAGTTTACTGTCTCCATCTTCAGCATCTCGCAAAGGAGGATGTGCTAGGATGAAGTTTGGACTTAAACAGGCCGCAGTTAGAGTAGAAGGATTTGATTGCCTAAGCAGGGATCACCAGAATTCTGGCATCCCTGCTGTCGCCTAAGCTCCATTCATAGAAGTGTATATAGAAGAAGCCAAGAGCCATCACTTATACAACGTGACTTAACTAGAGAGAATTTTGAATGTTTTGGAGGGAAGTAAGAAATTCAGTTAGTTGTGTATATAGCACATGCTTTTTTAGTATGGTGAGGTGAATCCTCTCATTGTGATTATCCATGGCAAGTTTAGGGAGCTGCAGAGAAAAGCAAACCTTCTGTTCTGGAGGTTTGTGTAGAGAGAGCACGTCTTTTTGTAATATTAGGTGGTTGTATCTGAGTGTCTCTTACAAATTTTAGGCTATCACCACACTTGTGTTCTGTATAGAAATTGGTGATTTTGGTTATGGTTCCTGTAAATATATTTAGGTGACTCTGCACCGTATGCCTATTGTATGAAGTTATTCAATTGTATTTTCTGTTCCAAAATGCAACTCACTCTGCACGTATGCCTATTGTATGAAGTACTCATTTTTCATTTATGGTTACCAATGTTCATCTTGTCTGAATAAGGTTGGGGGAATGTTGGTGAAGTATACAACCAGCACCAACTACATGGTAGATTATATGCAAGACATTTTATCTTTTCCTCCACCCTCCCATTCTTAAGTATTTACTTCACTTCATTTGCTTTATTTTTATTTTTTTTATTGTATTTTTCAATGCTGTTTTGTTTTTGGATAAATCTTCGTTAAATAGCCTGTTATCATTCCCACTATTCCTTCCAGGCTTACCGATCAGATGAAAATCTATCTATGCATGTTTTTGTGTAAGTGCAATGAATATTAACTACCTTAACTCCAAGACTTGAAATTAAAACCTACAAAGGAAAATTGAACAGTTACTACCTGAACATCTTTGATTGTTATTTAGCAGCATGCCTCATGTATTGGCATCAATCTTGATATTCAGGCCCATTTCCTTTAAATATAGGAAGCCCCTTCTTTCAGTCACATTCACACTGGTGAATACTTGTACTGTATCCAGTTGAGGGAATCAAAGTATGAATTTTCTTGACTCTGATGATAGCTCATATTCTGGTATGTTGATTTCCATTTTTGTCTGAAGTGACTATGCTCTCTTCCAGTATGTTTCTATGTTCTGAATAGAGTTTTTCTCCTGTGCATCCAACCAACAAATCTATAATGATAGTGATTATGAAACAAAGTGTCTTTCACAAATTGTTGATTATGCATTGTATTGCACTGAATTAAATGTCTTGTTATTTTACTAAGCATCACCAAGCAAAATTATTTTGATAAAAATTTTAGAGTACCCCTTTTTATGATTGCAAATCTTTCTAGTTCAAGTTCACAAGATTTTTATTAGAAATCATATTTGATATAATATTTTTACAGGAACAATTCCTTTTACGCACAACAAAGAAGATGAAAGTATTAAAAACATACCAACAACATCATAAATAAAAATTGTAGAAAAAGACAGTTTTATACTATTTATTGATTCAAATTATACTACAGGTTTATTTTTGGATAAATTTTAAAAACGTTTTTATTACCAATTATTTAGATGAACTTGGGAAAATTTCCCTTCACACATTATCTCATCTCACTTAGAATGATGACCTCCTCTGATATTAGATAGTTTTCTTCGTCACAATAACAGCTATTTATAGGCCATGTATATTTCGATTGTAAAAGAGAAAACAAATCCCTAAACCTAAATTTAAGTTGGTGAGATATTAAATTGAATGAATTAAAAATGTCATTCCATTGTTTTGCTTATTTTACATTGAAACAAAACATGTTTTTTAAACATATTTTTTTGGAAAATTGATGAAATAAAGAGTTACAGTTTTTTAATTCCCATTTATTTAGTTTACTATGTTAAGAATTTAAATGTAATTTAATTTAAGTGGTATCATATTCTAGTGGTCCATTTATAAAAATATCTTGATATTAATCTTTTCAAATATAATCAACATAACATATAATTTTTAAAATATAATAATATTTTATACTACTTTTTAATGAGGCGTGGAAAATAAGCCATTAAACACTCATGGTCATTAAAAAGATTGTTTGTTTTGAAGATTTATGTCAATTATAAAATTAATACGTATTAAGTTAATATAAAAAAATATTTTTTAGGTTAATTTTTATAATCAATGTAAAAGTTTGTTTTTGATAGAGTTATGACTTACAAAACTTAATATTAAAATAGAGTCATATATATATATATATATATATATATATATATATATATATATATTAGATTGGTATATCTCATAAATTCAACTACTACTCATTTGTATTAATTCTAACAGTCACCTGTACTATTCCTAATAATCACCAATTATAGTAATTTTAACACTCTTCCTCAAGTTAAAACATACAAATTGTATGTTCCAAGCTTAGAACAACAAAATTTAACCTGGGGTCCCTTCAAGGATTTGGTTAGCATATCTGCAAATAATTAGAAGCAACATACTTCATATATATCTCTTTTGACAACAACTTCTCCCGAATAAAATAATAGTCAATCTCAATATGCTTAGTTCTCTCATAAAATACTGGATTAGAGACAATATGGAGAGCAACTTAGTTATCACAATACATCTTCATTGTTTGGATATTACCAAAGTTGAGTTATTGAAAGAATTGTTTCACCCATATAACTTCAGAAGTAAGAGAAGTCATTGCTCGGTATTCAGCTTCTACAGTAGATCGAACTACTACATTTTGTTTCTTACTTTTTCAGGAAATAATATTTCCTCCAAAGAAAACAAAATATCCTATAGTAAAATGTATGTCAGTGGGAGATCCTACTCAATCAGCATCACAATATCCAGAGATTTTGAAATCTCCTTTATCTTTGTATAGTAGACTTGTCCTGGGACCTTTTTGAGGTACCTTAGAATTTGAATAATAGTATTCCAATGGTCAATATAAGGAGCTTGCATAAACTGACTTACAACACCCACTGCAAAAGATTAGGTCTCGTGATACTCAGATAAATAAGTTTTCTAACTAGTCTTCTATACCTTTTTGAATCAGAGAATAATTCACCATGTTCTATCATTAGATTTTGATTTGGGTCCATGAGACTATCTACTAGTCTATAGTCAACCATGTTTGTCTCCTTTAGAATATCTAAGACATACTTTCTTTGAGAGATAGCAACTCCTTCTTTTGATTAAGCTACTCCAATCCCCCAAGAAATATTTTAGGCTTACAAGATCTTTAGTTTGAAAGTGATTACACAAGTGTTCTTTTAGTTGAGATATTTTGGCAGCATCATTTCCTATTATCACAATATCATCAACATATACAATCAAGTAAACACATTTCTCAGGGGAGGTGTGACAATAAAAAATTGAATGATCAGTTTCACTACGTTTCAACCCAAAAGTTTGAACAATATGACTAAACTTCTTAAACCAAGCACGTGGTGATTTTTTGAGATCATAGAGAGAACGACGTAACTTACACACCAATCCGGACATCCCTTGAGCAACAAAATCAGGAGGTTACTCCATGTACACCTCTTCCTCTAAATCATCATTAATGCATTTTTAATATCCAACTAATGAAGAGACCAATGACAAATAGCGGTCATGGCAAATAAAAGATGAATAGTAGTCATTTTAGCAACTGGTGAAAAAGTATCGTTGTAGTCAAGACTATAAATCTATGTGTACCCTTTTGCAACTAATTGTGCCTTGAGACGATCAATCTCATTGTTGGGGCCAACTTTAATGTTATAAACCAATTTATATCCAACTGTCTTCTTTCCAGTTGGAAGAGGCACCAACTCCCATGTGTGATTCTGGTCAAGAGCTTGCATCTCGGCAATCATAGTTTGTTGTGTCATCCAGGATGATTGAGAACTTTAGTCACATTTTTTTGAATAGAAATATAAGATATTGAAGATAGAAAAGAACAATAGGTAGGAGACATTCTATGATAACTTAGAAAATTATAAATAGGACGAGGGTTGTGTGTAGAACGAGTACCTTTTCTGATGGCAATGGGCTAGGCTGAATCAAGAGTCGTGGTATGAATTGTTGATTGAAAAGAACTTGAAGAAGAGGAATGATCCTGGAGCATGGAGCTATATGTGAGAGGAGATTATGGTTAAGGATTAGTGAGACTGATTTTGATCGTCACACGCACTAGGAATAATAGACTCAATTGTGAGTATAGGTAAGACCTCCTAGATGGAAGGGATATCCGGAACAGATGAAGAAAAGTAAAGAGTAATTCAAAGAATGTGACATTGGCAAACATGTAATGTTTTTTTGTTTCAAGATAATAACATTGATATCCTTTTTGAAGCCTAGAATAGCCCAAGAATATACTTTTAATAGCACAGACAGATAGTTTATCTAAGTCGGGAGACATGTTGTGAACAAAACAGACATAACCAAACACACAAAGAGAAACATGGAAGAGAGGATCATTTGAAAAAAGAATGGAAGATGAGATCTTATTGTTAAGAGAGGAGGATGTCATTTTATTAATAAGAAAACAAACAATTAGGATATCATCTCTCCAATAATTGACAGTTAAGTGAGCACCAATCAATAAGTTACAAGCAATTTAACTAAATGTCTATTTTTCTTATCGATAATACCATTTTGCTGAGGAGTATGGAGACAAGTAGACTAATGTAAAATTTCATGTAAACTTAAAAGTGCAGAGAAATTAAGAGAGTGCAGAGAAATTAAGAGAAATACTTTTTGACATTGTCACTTCTAAGAATTTTAATCATTTTACCAAATTGATTTTTAACTTCATTTAAAACAGAGGTAAAGATGGATAATAATTCAAAACGATCTTTCATCAAATACACTCAAGTACACTTAGAATATTCATCAATCAATGTGACAAAATACTTAAACCCAAAATATGAGACACAACTTGGACCCCAAATATTTGAATGAATAATAAAGAAAACATAATTACATTTTGATTCAGATTTTTTTGAAAAAGAAGCTCTGACATGTTTTCTTAGTTGACATGACTCACATTCTAAAGTTTGAATA